CCTCAGCCGCCCCGGGCACCCCGCCGGCCCTCTCTGCCTTCCCGGTTGATTTAAAGATCAGTCTCCTCAAACAAGGCAAAGGAAAGGCTTAGCGTAGCGGTGCTTCTGTCGCTGCTCTCCCACTGCCCAGTGATGCCCAGGCAGCATCAAGACTTATACTGACACCGAGTCTTACTTAATACTCCTTGAGAGATTTCTCTCAGAAACTCACCCAGTCTTTTTCCTGAGCTCAGGGTGTGCTTGCTCAGATAAGTTGGTCTTGGCATGAAGTGGTGGTGACAGCTGCAAGCAATAGCTTCAGAGAAGCATATTTATCTTAATTTGTTGTAGTAATCTAGTCTGATTTATTTTTTTGTACTTGAGCAGATTTCTGATGTTCTAGGTTTGCTGAAATGTTTCATTCCTTACTGAATTTTAAACTTAAAGTAACAGTTATTGCTCAACCTAGTAGAGACCCTTAAACACACTGTAGCGCAAAGCCCAGAGCTCCATCGACCTGATGTGCAACAGGGGAGAAGGGGGGGGGAAAGAACAGGGGAATGGGGAGGAACCAATTAACAATGTGAGAGTATGACCTGATTTATGATCTAGTTGTAACTTCAGTTAGTATTGGCAAAAGTTTACAAAACGTAAGGAAAGGGGCTGGTTTGATCAGCAGCTGGCTTGTGATGGTGAGAGGCTTCACACAGATGGGAGAATAAGAAATATGAAAATATTATTTCCATAAGAATATGGAAAATGGTACTCCTGAGCAGCACAGGCTAGCAACCTGAGCTGAGGGGAAACAAATAAAAACTGAGAGCTTGTGAAGGGCCTTGAAAGCAAAGACGAGCAGCTTGTGTTTGAGAGAGGAGAGACATTAAGAGGATTTCTGAAAAGGGTTCAGAAGGTCAAAGGACTAACTAAGAAACTGAACTTTGCAGCAGGATTTTGGGTGGATATCTGTATGGAAAGATGGCATTTATTAAGCTTGGGAAGAGGATGTAGCAATAATCAGAATGTAAGATTATACTCTAAATAAGCCCTGAGGTCTTCCCATACATACAGCTGTGGGTTTTAGAGTTATCTTTGCTACTAATTATTGGCATCAGTTTATTTTATGAACTGTTACAGCCTAGCTGTTAAAAAGTTCAATGTTCTTTAAGTCTTCCATTTCAAATACCTGTTGTCATGGGAATTTGTTCTTGTAAAATACAGTCCAGATAAAATGTGACCTTTTTTCTGGAAACTTTTTCACCATAGGTCAGAAGCTAAGGGAATCTTAGCTTGTTAGAAGCTGAATATAGGGAAGTCTTGCCCATGGCAGCAGGCCTTTTATAGTGCAGGAAAAATCAGTGTGTAGAGTAACCCAAAGAAAACGGGGGAGAAATTAAGACAGTTAACTTCCGTCTGTATTTCTACATACGGAACTACGGAATTATTACATTTTTTAACATGTTGAAATAAGATGATGATGATTAAGGAGATGGTGTCCTGCCAATTTAGTGACAGTACAACCAGCAATTTAAAAATAACATATCTTTCAGAAACTGCATCTGTTTAAAAAAAGCATTGTAATGAATTATAATTATAATATAGCATTAAATGTCTCTTTAGAAATGTTTCTTTGCATAATTGTTTTCTCTACGGTACAGGCAGCCAATTTCTTTAGTTATTTATGTTGGTCTTTCTTCCCTGCAAGAGAGTTGATGACTCCCTTTCTTGAATGTGTCACGCACATCAGACAGCTATGTTCTTCTGTCCATTGTTTATTAACCATCACCCTTCTTCATAATAGTCTCCCATCCATTTTTTAATTCATTTCATTTCTGCCTGTCCCATATCCTTGAGAGCTCTCTTCCCCATATCCTCTCAAGTTTATTAGCAAGAGCTTCATTGTCCACTGGAGGGATTTTACAAAGCTGCAGTAGATTTTAAAAACGTATTTAGAATGTCCTCATGTTTCTTGCTAGTTCTGCAACAACACTTTTTCCCAGATATTCAAGAATACTTCATTATCTTGCTTGGAAATTGCTGGAATGATTGACATTGTCTGGAACTAATGAGGAATTGCCTGTCCTGTCAATATCTGGTCATCTTCCTGGACCTGTAAGGTGACAACTGCAGCAGAGTAGAAGGTGGAGGAAGACTGATGTGACCACTGTGAAGAAGCTTCAAGGTGTCAGTCAGGGTATTGTGTCAACTTGGCCTGTGGTTGAGGTGGTTCCAGTGGAAAAAGGTCACCACAGAGCTTAGAAATTTTTATGTCCCTCTGTAGGAATTTTGCACTGAAATGAGCTAATAAGCTCCAAAACAGTAAGTGTGAATAACGTGGAGGGATTGACACAGATGTGTAACCATAAACTGAGGCTTCCCTCACTCTTTAGATGTCTTTTTTTCTCTAGCAGTATATCTTATACTGTGTAACGTGAAGCATTAAGCATGGCAAACACTCAGTTAACTTAGAACAATAGATCTTTTTTTAATTGTTCCATTGAGTCTTCCATTATTTTATTCAGAGTCCTTTGAAGTCAGTGAAAGTCTTTCCATGGTTTTGAGCAGAGTTTGTGTTGCTAGAAAAAATACAGGCAAACATAGTGAAAATCTGTTAGAACTAAAAAGTGAAGTTCAGCTTCTACTTTTTTATAGACTGACTTTGTGCAGAATGTCATCAGATGAGGAGAAAAGCGCAAGTCCTCTTTTGCCAAAAGACTCAGTTTGTGGCAGTTCTGTTTCTTCAGATCTTCAGGTAGGAAAGAAGCAACTTTGCTTCTCCATGACTGTTCTTTTTCTTTTTTTCCTTTGTGGGAAAGGATAATTATGAAGAAATATTGCAAATAACTCCTGTATCCTTTTTATATTTCATATTTTAGGTTCATCAAATATGTCAAGATATACTTTAGGATCTTTAATGTTTTGGGTTTTTTGTTTTTATTTTTTGCTTTACTCTGCTCAGCATCCTTTTGAGAGGATGTGAAGGTATTGGTGAAAGTCTTGAAAGAGGTGAAGTTTCAACATTTAATAATTGGCTATTGCAGGGTGGGTAGTATTTTTTTATTATTATTATTTCGATGGAATTCTGTCCCAAACAGGTCACTTTTGCACAAATATTTTTCGCTGTTTGTCATTTCATGTTAGGATGTGTCCCTGCTTTTGTCACCCAAAAAGCAGTAGCTGCAAGGGGTCTATACAGCTGAAGCACTGTTAAATTAAGTTTTTCATCCTGTATACTGACAATGTCCCTTTTAAATTTCCTTTTTAGGTGGGAATTTGCTTTCACGCTTTTTCACACTTATCTAGCAGATAAGATTTCCTAATTTGCTAATTCATCTGTCTTTGTAGTGCCTCTTGTAGTTAGAAAGCAGGCAGAAGATGTTCAATCCACTTTTCCTATTGTTTAGTTACTTTGACTGCCATCCAAAGGACAAGTTCTATGCAGCATCTATAGATTTTTACCCTAAAAGGAGAGGGGAAAAAAAAAACTTCTAAATGCTTTTGTGCCTTTCGCAACACTAATTACTAAAAGATACATGAGTTTGTTTTTATTCTGAGATCTCGTAGAATCTGAATCATACTGTTGTAGAAAGCCATGGGTGTGCATTTAATGTGGTAGAATAGTGGTGTTCATGGTTAGAATCTTCTAGGGTATTCCTATACATTTGATATTAAAAAATCTCCAAGAGCAGAACTGGTAGAGGAAACAAAACATTTCTTTCATCTTCTTTCATTGGACGTTGGATCTGAAAGTTTTTATATAAAGGTTTAACACCAAGGTTTCCTCTCTCAAATACCTGTTTCCTTTGTTGACCTTGGTAACAGTAATGGTTGTTTTTCTGAATATCAGCTTACATATGAAAACTCTTATGTATTTGAGGCTTGAGTACATCAGAGTATACTAAACAACAATTTGCTTGTCATCTCTTGGTGTTCACATAGCATGCAATATAGAAAAAAATGTGCTAAAATATATATTTTAGGGCTTGCATGTGTTTTACAAGAATACCATCCAGTTCCTTCACACAGCAAGAACACATTAAAAAGTGGTTCACCCTTAAGTAAAACCAATTTAAGACACAATTTGCATCTGTATTTGCTTTAGAAATGCAGAAGTCTGGAAGTAAATATTTCACTCTTGCTCTATCTTGTTATTTCTCCACTTTTATTTTTAGGGGTTAAAGCTAAACAATTGATAACTTGTTGATTTGCAACTAACTATATGTTTTACATGGAATGTAGTACTACTTACTGTATGCATGTGCCATGCATACTTATTTGTAACAATATAGCTTCATATATGATTACATGGGCTTTTAATTTCAACATGATACACTAGAAAATCAGGAATAGAAATTTGAAAGGAAACCAGAATTCAGTTAAAACAATGCCTAGCTTCTTAAAATGTTCTCTGATGAGTTAAAACCCATATAAATGTGAGAGGTAGATTGAAAGTGTTGAAAATTGGGCATTTAAACTGATTGATTCAATGAAGTATTACATGTAATTGGTACATTAAAACTAATTTTTTCTGCTCTGACTTCTCCCAGCTTGAATAGGAAAATAACTTTTCAATTTACAGTTGAGCCCACTAGGATGTTAACTGAGCTAGTGAAATAATAGAGTGGGAAAAAAGCTATTACTGGTATCCTGGTTTAATACTTTCAAACAAGTGTCGTTGCAAAATATTTTAATTAGTGGCTTTGATCAGTAGGCATTAACTGCTACTGGAACTTTTTTCATTATTATTGTTACTGTTAGAACGGCTTTTATAGTGTTCAAGCTGTAATACATTTGTTTAGTTTCACATTGAATTATTAATATTTCTAAAAATCTCCTTAATTAGGGAACTTCAAGGAAAATATTAACTCACTTGGTTTACGTTGGCATGCAATATAAAGCCATATACCAGTTATGCTGGTTCATATTTTTTTAAAGGGCAAGCTTTTAAAATAGCTTTGTGTATATACCACCACCACAACTATGTAACTTAATAAATTTATAATATATGCTGAGAATAACCATATTTGCTGTAAAGAAAATATTGGATAATCAAATGGCTTCTGATGGTTGGCTTTGTAATTCCTCTCAAAGAGATTGTAATGTGACAGGATGTGAAATCTGATTCTATGCTCAGTAGCATCTTTGCTATGCATAAAAACAACCTACTTTTTTTTTTTTTCCCTCCTCCCCTCCTCTGTGGTAACAATGATGCTCAAAATAAGTATTAAGTAATTCTTAATCTGGAATTGATTTCATAGTTCGTATTTCTTTGATGTGCCTGTTATATTGTCTAATTCTGGCATTTAGCAAAACCTTCAGGTGTAGCTATTATATTGCATCTGCCAATATAATCTAGCATTTACTAATGGATTACATTTTAGAACATAAAGTAAGAGAGCAATAAAATATTATAAATGACATCTAAATACTAAGAAAGCAGCTGGCTTTTGCAGTTTAAAGGCAAATTCTTTTAGTTTTAGTCATAATACAAAATAATATAAGGATTATCTAAAATTGTTTCCACTCATTCCTTCTACCTAGTCTTTGGGAACATAATCATAGCTTTGTAACTATTTGTCCCAATTTTGTGACAGGATGAATATGAAGAGCTTCTTCATTATGCTGCAGTGACTCCGAAGTTTGAGCATCATGTCCCGAAGTGGTCAGAACCCATCTCAGAAGTGAGAGCTGGTGACAGGTTTGCGGATATGACAGATGACATCATTCCTCGTAAGACTTTAGGTAATATATGAAAAGCTGTGAGTTTACAAGAGCAGTGATGAAATTTTATTGATAGAAGTTTTTCAATAGCTTGTTTGAAAAGAATGTACACTTCATGTACACTTATGTTTTGAACAAGAAGAAATTTCAGAATGTATTATGTTCACTGAAGGTTCTCTCTCCAGCATAGCTCTCGGGTGGTAGTATTGATGTGCTGCTGGGATAGATAAAGGTGTGTTTAAAGGATTGTTCTTTTTAAATAAGAATTACCTGAAACTGACTTTGTGTAATAGCTAATCAAGTCACTGCATGAATGTCATTCTTACTCCTCTGTTCAGTAGTTTATTCTGATCTCGTTTTTGGCATTTGCTCTTTAAGAAGGTGTAAATATTTTGTCTTCTGATGCAGTGTGATGACACTTAAGAGTAACATTGATATTTATGGTAATATATTATTTGCTTTTGTCACTAGCATTTAGCTTGAGGAAGTTCATTTAATTTTTATTTAGAAGAAACAGTAAATGATCATACCTGCATTATTTCTTTAATAGGGAATTTGACTTAGAGAATAAGGAAGAATTTGCTTTAATTTCTGCTGTTTAGAAGATCTGTCATTTTGTGATGAAAACACTTATTTATTGTTTTCTGTTACCTATTTTCTTGTGTCATGTCCTTAAGGGAAGTTGGGACCTTGATGCCATCCATGTCTGTCTCTACTATTTAAAGGACAGAGGGGTGCAGAAGTAGGTAGACCATTCTGCAAAGAGAGATTAAGTGCCTGGAAGTGGTATGTTAACCTGGTGCTAATTATCTGCACTGGAATAAATGTTGTTCCTGGCTGATGTATGCGCGAGTCCTTGGCTGTGCTGGTGAGAGCTAAATAGCTCTGTGTGAACAGCAGTTTACTAGTGCACAGGACAGTACAGCCATTTGAAGAAACCACAACCAAAAATAAGCACATATGCTGAAGGTATGAACTGTTCTCATTGGAATATAGAGTAGCCTTAGTAAGCTATCAATTGCCATGGTAGCAAAAACAAATCTAGAAACGGGATCCTTAAAACAAAGAATGTGATTAAAATGAGGAGAGCAGTATTGGTTATGCTCAGTGTGCTTCCTCTTTGAGTGAGTGTGTGCAGTGGAATCTAGGCACATTCAGGCCCTCGGATCATTGCCTCCTTCCAATCTACCATAATGTTTGTCATTCTATCAGCCATACAGGAGCTAAATCCCTGTGGACATTTGTACCTGTAACTTCCCTTCTGTGTAGAATTACTGTAGTTGTTTCTCTGAATGTCAGATTTCTATAGGAAATGTAGAAAGCATGACTTTACTTTTATTGAAAGCAGGAGAATGACAGTTTGGAGAGCAAGAGAGAGAATATGCCATAATGGAAATGGGATCTGGAATTGGAGTGCAAATGATTTAGAAAACAATCTGCTAACATAGAAGTTTCAAGAATAGTCTATGGAACTTGTGATTTATGAATTTTATCAATTTCATGCAGTGTAGTTATGTCCTTTGTGGGAAGTGTGCCAAGGCTGTATTAAGATATAATCAGGAGAAGCTGCTCATATTTTGTACTATGGCCATTATCCCAGTCATACATGAAAAATTACTGAAAAATCCTCTGTATTAACAGATATTCCTGCAACTCCTAGAATGAAAGCAGTTAGTTATGGGTTAAAGAATTAGATTCTAGGTTTCTGGCTCACCATATGTTTTTTTGTTCAGAATTATAAAGATATACAGCCAAGTTTTGTCATTCAGTACTGTATATTGTAACAGAGTGTATGTGCTGCTCAGTCATGTTCTTCATAAGGAAGATCAAACCTATATACCACACTTGTCTGTGTCTCAATACAGAACTTTTTGGCAGCCCTGTTTACCATTACCTCTGTGAAGCAGGTTACCTATCATTTGTTTTGATACAAAAGTGTAGCTTGTCTGTGCATGTCTATATGTGAAGACAAAAACTTCACACTTCCAAAGCAAGCAGTGGAGTTGCCAATGCTACAGGATGCCTTCTTAAATGAAGCTGTTTGTGGAGTATCTTTTGGGATTATTTTTTTTTCTCTGTCATTTTCTTAAAATTCAGGCGATATAAGACTTCCCTTATACACTATAACATATATATTTTCTTCCTGTAAAAATTTTCTCTTAAAAAGGTAGTATTATAGTACTGTATGTCACTGGATTTACAAAATATTGTATCTACATAAAATGTTAATCCATAGCAAGCATCTGAAGCATGAAAATGAAGATGTGGATGGTTTACATGTAAAATAGATACATTTATCTATTCTGTCTGACGAGCAATATGAGATTTTTAACCTTAAAAATTAGGATATTGCTTGCATGCAAATTAAAATAGAATTACTACAGATTCCTCAGAAAATCAGCTGACTGGAGCCAGCCCTGGGGGTTACATGGCAAGTTTTCACAAGACCTAATGCTGAATCTGATCAATGACCTTAAACATTTCTTTTTTTTTAAGGGAGCAGTAATTTTGACATAACTTCTGTTACAGTACAAATGCTGGTTTAAATATAATTATATCTTATAAGCTGGACTTGAGGTTAGTTTATTTTACACAGGAAAAGGAGGGTATGGGTGACTTTTTTTAGTGCGTGCCCAGTTTGGACCAGTTTGCCTTTCCAGAGGATCAGTCCTAGTTCTTTGTTTTGTTTTCAGCTTCAATGTCAGTGAAGGGGTCTTCCGAGTCCCACATGGAACACCTGTGCCCTCTTCTCTCGGAAGAGACTTCTTCACAAGGCTCTGCACGCAGCCCAAGAGAAATCAGTGAGGAGAGAGTGACTGAATTAACTGTTCCTGATGAAAAGGTGACCCAAATAGAAAACATACTTGATCTCTGGAGTGGAAGTCTTAAGGTTTGTATTTTATACTGAAACCTTAAGAAAAACATCAAGATGTCAGTGTGTTTGCACAAATAAGTGATTGTAGGGGTAAAGTTTTGTGATAGCATTGGGAAATAGTGGGTTTTGTTGTGGAGTTTTGTTGCTGCTGTTTTTTGCACACAGGAAATACATTGAACAGTTTTCTCCATTAAGGTTATATAATTCTGATCACTCAAGACTTTACTGTGTCTAGTAATGCTTATAATGCAAGCTTTACTGTAAATATTCATGTCCGTGCCAAGTGTTTTAAAATTAAAAGTTTGGAGAGGAGAGAATAATTTGCTAATTTCACTGCTGTCACTCCTTTAACTTTCAGACAAATGTTCTAACTGAGTTGAAAAAATGGAAACTTAGTTTTATTGAGCATCACAAGCTTGAAATGAGACAAGAGAAAGAGAAACATGCTGCGCATGTCAGACAGTTGAACAATGAAATGGAAAATCTGAAAGAGTTGCTACATACTTATGAAATCTCTATTGGCAGAAAAGATGAGGTAATGTTTCAGTTTCATAGTTGTGATTTTGTTTTTAGAATCTCCATATTGATTGATTTACATATATCCTAACTGTACTTGAATAACAGAATGCTTCTTGCAGCAAGTCAAATGGACCAGTAAATAATAGATTTAGACTGAATAGTAGAAAAAATATTACTAATGACATATTAACAGCGGAAATTTAATAGGTGTCATCTGTAAATATTTTGTTTTGCAGCAGATGTCTGTAAATATTTACATTTTGTAAACCTAGGCACTATTCTTGTGCTTTATTTGCTGTTGCTTTCATGAGACTTACAGCAGTTTGGATGATTCTTATTAGTTCTTACATGTGAAGAGCTTTTAATTTGGGCAAGATTCAATGGGTTTTCCCATATTTCATAGGGAGAAGAGTCTCTGAAATGTTTATAGCAAATCTCTGTTTCAAGTAATTCTTAGAATTGTAGACTTGGGATTTTTCAGATAGAGCTTTTTTTTTTTATCACTATTAATACCAAGGAATTTTGGAACTAACCAAAATGGTGGGAGTGGATATAAAATTTTGAGAGTCCAAGTGACATAGCCTATTTGGATCCTCACTTTTCTATACTGAATTTTTAACCTTCCTTTTTTTGACACCGTCTTTTGGCCTTTGACACCGTTCCTCACAACATCCTCCTGGGCAAGCTCCGGAAGTGTGGGATAGATGAGTGGACAGTGAGGTGGATTAGGAACTGGCTGGATGGCAGAGCTCAGAGGGTGGTGATCAGCGGTGCAGAGTCTAGTTGGAGGCCTGTGGTTAGCGGGGTCCCCCAGGGGTCAGTCCTTGGTCCAGTCCTGTTCAATTTATTCATCAATGACCTGGATGAAGGCACAGAGTGCTCCCTCAGCAAGTTTGCTGATGATACCAAACTGGGAGGAGTAGCTGATACCCCAGAGGGCTGCGCTGCCATCCAGAGGGACCTGGACAGACTGGACAACTGGGCGGTGAAAAACCTCATGCAATTCAACAAGGCCAAGTGCAAGGTCCTGCACCTGGGGAGGAATAACCCCAGACACCAGTACAGGCTGGGAACCGACCTTCTGGAGAGCAGCTCTGCAGAGAGGACCTGGGTGTCATGGTGGACAGCAAGTTGACCATGAGGCAGCAGTGTGCCCTCGTGGCCAAGAAGGCCAATGGAATCCTGGAGGAGAGGCTGAGGGAGCTGGGCCTGTTCAGCCTGGAGAAGAGAAGGCTGAGAGGGGACCTGATCAGTGTCTATAAGTACCTCAAGGGAGGCAGTGAGGAGGATGGTGCTGGTCTCTTTTCACTGGTAGCCACTGACAGAACTAGAGGTAATGGCCATAACCTGAAACATAAAAAGTTCCACAGGAACCTAAGGAAAACATTTCTAACAGTGAGGGTGACAGAGCCCTGGAACAGGCTGCCCAGAGAGGTTGTGGAGTCTCCTTCTCTGGAGATCTTCCAAACCCACTTGGACGCAGTCCTGTGCCACGTGCTCTAGGTGACCCTGTGTGTGCAGGGGGGTTGGACTAGATGACCTCTAGAGGTCCCTTCCAACCTTAAGCATTCTATGATTCCACTTGAGAGCACTTAATGGAGTTCTTTTCATCTTTTTTTAAAAAAGCACTATTCCAGAATACCCATTAAAGGAATTAAAATGAAGAGAAAGAATGAAAGGCCACGATCCATGTCTGTTTGGAAAACAGATTTTACGGACCTAAGCAAATACTTTTTCTCTTTTTTCTTTTTTCTATTTTTTCTAAAATTCTTTTTATGGAGAATGATTCCCCTTAACAGTAGGTGGCAGTACCTCCATATATGACAGTGTGGTCATCAAAACTGATGAATTCTAATGTGACCACAACCTGAATCAATCAACCTCACAAATAGTTGTGACTTGGTTTCTTCCGCTCACATTGGAGTCATAAGATCTCTCATGCTTTTTAATGGAAAAAATGTATTAATTAACAAATTTAGATCTGTTTGCAGTAGTAAAAGCTGATGGTTTAGGTTTGTATATCACAGTATTTCAACAAAGATTATAATTTGTTTATACCCAGTTTCTTTTCTGTCTCTTTTCTAACTAATTTCTTTGGCAATTTATGATAAATTGTTTCTAATTTTAGACTTTTAAATTATTTTAGACTTTTTAGACTTTAAATTATTATCTACTATATAAATAGATCATTTTTATTCTGAAACTGCAAAAAGTTACGACTAGTCATATTTAAGCAGAGAAAAGTAGCTTAACTAAATTAGATATATTAAACAGTATTGTGAAGAATTCTTTCTTAAACTAAGGACAGCTCTGCTCTAATTTAAATGTGTCAAAATGCCCTTCATGTGTTGCTGGTTTTGATATTTTCACCTTAAAGAATCCACACTTCTAGTAGTATTTCTTTAAATATTTTATGAAATACAGCAATTACAATTGGAGCAGTGTATATGAAATTCTGTACCAAAGCTTAGAAGTTGACCTGTTTGCTAGATAATAGGTTTATTAGCATATTTATTAGTATGTAAATAGCATGTAACACCGTAAAATACTATTTCTTACCCCTCTTACCTGCTGCAGTAGTTAGAATAACTTTAAGTGGAAGTAACTTATTTCCTCAAATCTGCCAGTGTTACTCATTAGTCTTTCTCAGATGTAACTGAGAGGAGAATCTAGCTAAGAAGCTAGGCAAAAAATGCAGAGAACAGCTCATTGATTTGATATAAGCAATTTACAACATGCCTGGACTATATCTTGATCAGTGAATCACAGCTCTTCCTGTAACATTAATTATAATGTACTTAAAGGTTGATGGTTGAAGCCCTCTTACCTCCCAAATGCTTTGATTCTTAGAGTCTGTTAATTGTATAAATTTTCTATACATCAACAGTTGTTTCTTTACATTTTCAGTCAATACTGCACTAAAGCAAACTTTTCACAATTAAATGATAGCTAATTAACCAAGCTGTATTTGTAAAGAGATGATTCTACTGACCTTATATTACAGTAACATTTGATTACAAGGAAGTGGAACAGAATCCTGCAGAAGTCACCAGATGGCATGATAATTCATTTGAGTTTTTTCTACAGCTACTCAGTGAAAGTGTCTAAATGCCACTGAGTCTGAGTATTGAAGCCAAAAGAACTTTACTCCAGATTTGAACTTTTTTTTTTTTTTTTTTTTAGAAGGAAGATTTAACAAAACGCTGCTTCTAAAAGCAAGAACTTTAGGTGACAAATACTTAATGAAGGCAGTACATCTTAACATAATTATAACTACTGAATAATATTTTTGCAGGTAATTACTAACTTGACTCAAGCATTAGATAAGCACAAGGAAAGAATAGAGTTGATGAGAAAATTTATGCTCTGGCGGATTCAACATGTCGAAGCCAAACAAGAGGTATGTGCGCAAAATAAAAATGTGGTGAAAGGGGAGCCTCTAAACTCAAAAGGGTCAGCGTTGATGATCTTCTTGTTATGGCTGGAAGAAATGACTGTGTTGAATAACAGTTCATTCAAACAGTTCAAAAATAAGAATATTGCTGTTAGAATACCTGTGCAATGAGGAAAAAACCTCAATATTGTATATAAATATATATATTTTTTTCTCATGTGATCACTGTGATTGCAGGTTTTATATGATTCTTGGACTCAAAATATGCCATGTACCAATTTAATGGCTTTGTACATGCATGCTGTCAGCATGCGTGTGAGTGGGTTGTTTGCACGTCATTAAACTTAAAAGGTTCATGTTATTTAGGAGTTCTCAGAGGTATTTTCTGTCTTAGACACATAACACAGGAAGAATGGAGCTGTTCATGCAGTGTTTGTGTATGGCTTCACTGCTGCACATGTAGCCTCGTGTAGGCATTCCTCCTGTGATCTGTATAATACACTGCAAAATGATCATCCACCCTCTCTTGAGTACTTCAGTTTTCAAAAAACTTGCATATAATGTGGTTACTTTGTTTCCTAAGGCATACGCAAATAGAATAGCAGACAGACAATTCCAGACAGCCTTGCTGAAGAAGGTATGGGCAGCATGGCGCTGTCTAAGTGAAGCAAAATGGAAAGAAAAGGTAGCAAAGGCCTGTCAGCTAAGGGCAGAAGATGTCTGTGTTCAGCTCACTAATGATTATGAAGCCAAAATTGCAGAGGTAAGAAAAGGTTTCTCTCTTTTTTCTCCCTCCTACTCTGATAAGTATGTCTGTCTTAGCAAACTTGAAATACCTGAGGTGTCTCGAAAAGAATGGTAGAAAAAAAGCTCCAACTACAGAAGGAGAGGTGAGGAAACCCAAAAGTTTCTACATGTGCTTTCCCCCCCCCCCTCTATTTTTTTTCCTGCAATGGATAAATTACATTGACTAGCACACACAGGTGAAGACAACATTTCCTGAAATGAGATGATCTTCTATTTACCCACCTGTAGAGGGAATGATAATTCCTTCCTAATAGCAAATATTAACTTGCTATGCTATGCATTTTGGGGTTGTCTTAAAGGAGAAATAGTGGAAATAAAAGGTTAAATTTGAGTTTAGCTTTGCCTTTGCCAATTAAATTATCAAAGTATTTTGAAAGTTTTAAAAAGTGAAATCAATTTGTCAAGATGCAAATTGGTACCCAGAAGAAATGAAAATAAGTTTTAAAATATACATTTTGAAAGCTGTATATTTTAGCAAGAGTTAAGCACATTCCTAAAATTTCTAGGCTTATTAGCCATAGTTGCTCTGAGATAAAAACTCTAGGATATACAAATAGAGGCATTTCTTTGTTAATTAGAGCTTTACACCCAGTTTCTAATGAGTGGAATTTTGAAAACTGAGCACTTCCACACAGGGAGAGCTTTGTTCTAGAAACTTTTGAAAACACTGAAGTTTATAAGGGCTAGAAAAGTGAGGTGGCTGGTAAATACTTAAGCATGAGATGAACTATCTTCTAGGAAAAATTACTGCTCTGACTAGTGAAGGAATCCAAATTACTGATGAAATTTAGCCTGAGCTAGTTGCCTAACTTTCCGATGAGAAACGGGCAAGATAAATTTGTTTAGTTGCTTAGGATCTGCCGGTCCTTCTGAACACAGTCTAGCAATCTCTGTGCTCCAGTACCTATAATGAGCTATGGTAGAAATAGATGGCAAATAATTGCCCTACTTAGTGAACCAGAGATTTTGAAGTGAAGTAGCTCATCTCTGTGAAAGTAGTAAGAGGCTTCTAATGTAACTGAGGAACAGAGTCAACATTTGCATTCAGAAGTTCGACCAGCTGTTTCTCCCCTCTCTTGCAGCTCCATGCCACACTGGAACAGAGCAGAGCTGAGATCCTGCGACTGCACAGTGAGAGAGAGCAGTACGAAGACACCATGAAGAAGGCCTTTATGCGGGGCGTGTGTGCTCTGAACCTGGAAGCTATGACTATGTTTCAGGGCAAGGAGAGTAGGATAGATCTAGGTCAGTATAAAAGCTATAATCAGGCTACTAAATTTAATAGTCTGGTACCAGAAGTTTCTGAAGTACTTCAGAGTACATGTAGCTTAGGCAAGTGTAGTGATTTGTTTTTATTCAAAATAGAGACTGCTTCTAAAATAAACTAAACAAAACCTACCACATGGTGACACTCTAGTCTTGGGAATAGAAAAAATAGCATTGTCCTAGCCCTGCTGATAGTATCTACCTTAAAAAGGGAAGAGTAAATGAAAATAGGTTCTCCTTCTTTAAGGAGTATACTTAGAAGCTGAAACTGCTTGGAAAGCTTTTGCCCTGCAAGTGCATCTCCCAGCCTGGGGGTACACGGGGCCCAGTGTGTGTCCGTAGAGTGTCACTGCAGTGATGTGGCCCCACTCCAGGATGGACACAGGGTGGGCTGCTCCTGATCTAAGGCCTATCATTTCATGCTACTGCTAGGGAGTCCCTGTCAGGACCTGGCCCTGTCTCAGGTGTCTGGAATACTATAGCCTTCCCTGTGTTCATGCTCTCTACCTGAACTGGAGTTTGGCCCTCAGGGCAACAGAAGCTCTTGCCCAGTGGATGTGGTATGGGTAAACTGTAGTCAGGACCTTAGTTCTTTGCACTACCCCTATGAAATTACGTGGACTGGCGTAACACCTAAGTTACCCCCTTGAAAAGCTATTTCCATCTCTGAAAAGGAAGATCAAATGCAGAAAGTTTTAAAATTTATCTCTACATAGAACAGACTGATTATTTTAATTAGATTACGCAGAAATCCCAGAGGAGTACTGAAGTCTTAGTGACTCATCTCTGTTCCCCTTAAGGTTTGCTAGATTCTGGGCTGAAGCATTTACTTTGTCTTTTAACAGATGTAGGATGTAGGAGAGAAGATAGTGGTAGTGGTGCTGCAGGAAGGCTGCCTTCCTCCCAGTATAATCCTCCCTCACCACCACCTCCAACAGCAACTAGTTTACAGCTAGAAGACATGGTGAGTATGGAGTTGGACTACATGAGTTGCCATAGAAATGAAAAATAATTGTCTGCATTGTTGCTTTTTAAACATAAATGCAAGAGCCTGTGAACTGAAAGGACTAAAATCCAATCTGAGATTTAAAAAGAAACTCCCAAGGACTTTCAGACTGCACTGGCTGTGGTATGGTTTCTGCAACTTGCAGTGCTTTCAGTAAGCGCTGTTTTTTCTTGCAGTGAAAATAATCATTAAACTAATGAAGCCAAAGTATCTATTACAAGCAGAGCTTACTTTCTAATGATCTTTCTAGGGGGGAAAAAAGCTCTTAAGAGTTGTTTGCAGAGAGCCTGAGCTTAATATAGTTTTTAAAAAAAGGCAGAAATTAGCTTGACTTCAAGCTTCTTTTCAAAATATAAGTGTACAGACACTGTTGGAACTCAGCTTATTGTCCTGTCATGTCAGCTTAGCCAGGTCCATTGTCCAGTAGTTTGGATGTTTTGGACCAGCCCTGGAGTCACAGTGGAGGCGTCATCACTGTAGAACAATTTCATGCTACAGTACAGGATAGAAAAAGAAAAAGTGCTTCCCTTTCTTCCCAGTTTTTTATTCCAGTAGCATCAAATTTTACTTGGTTTGTAACATCTCTGACATGTTTTAAGTAAGCTAGACAACAAACAGATATAATATCTGTTAAGAAGTAAAACTTAGCAGGGTAATTGAAATAATCCAAGGAATGACTAATCAAACAGTAAAACTGTATTTTCAGAAAAGTTACTCTTTGTAAACTGATTCACTTACAGTTTTCTACCCACCTGGGCCATGCCAGCACTTCTCAGACCAGGCTAGATTCTGATTCTCCAGTAGTCATCACTAGCACAACTGCAGGATCTGGTCTGTCATCAACTCAAAAGCTGGTAACATGCTAAAATTCACTTAATTTTTTAAGACATAATTATTAGCTTGGATATCTTTTCCCATTTTTTTCAGAGGAACACTCAGTATTTGAGGAAACTGCTCTAGGGTTTACACAGAGGAGTGAAGAGAGAACCTGGAAAATGCTCTTTAATGTTAAAGAAAAGGCCCTTTATGTTAATTACAACTTAAAATATTTGGGGGAAGGGGGACAAAATGTGACTGAATAAAATGAAGATTAGGAAAGTGCACACACTTGCATATGACACAACAGTAACAACCAGTATTTCAACATGATATCATTTAGATACAGAAAAAGTCTGCTTTGCTTTGTCTTCCTGCTGTTCCTTCCTTCCCTTCCTTTGTTTGTAAACTGTCCTTTTTACTTTTCTCCATTGTTGTGCTTTCCTTTACCCCTTCGATATAGTTAGCTACCATAATCAGAGAATGATACAGCATTTTGTTGCATGGAGGCCTTTGTGTATCTGCTGTGTCACTACCAGAAAGACCTGCCAGTGCTGCAGCCGCCTGCAGCTCTCAGAGGTTCCTGCAGCCAGAGCGCAAAGCTGAATGATGCTTGCTGCCTGCTTGCTTGGATTAGGCTAATCCCTTCACCATAAGGCACTTGCACTAAACACTGGCGCTTTCTTAGAGTGCAAAAAGGACAGAATAAACCAGGTTCAGCTAGGTAATAAATTCAGTCCCATAGACTGTAACTGGATTATCAACAGCATCCACGTTCTATTTGGGCATGTGGCTAATAAATGTAAGTAGCTACACTAGAGTGTTGTAGATACTAGGTTTAGAATTTTTGCCAACTAACATCCAGTTTATTTATAGCCCATGGCGAAAGTAATAACATCTGCTCAACAGAAAGCAGGAAGAACAATCACTGCTCGAATCACAGGCCGAGCTGATATGGGACAGAAACCCAGGATCTGTAGTAGTTTAGCAGTGATGGGAGTTGTTCCACCCATGAGTTCAGTCATTGTTGAAAAACATCATCCAGTCACTCAGGTAAGTCAGAATTATGCTTATAACACCTCTCTAAATGATGACAATGAAGACAGACTTAACTAGGCTCAGATTTGAGTCCTGTTTTCAATAATTACTACTTGTCTTTGCCTTGATAGAAGTTAGCACATTTGTGAGGAGAGGAAGTAAATATTGCATGTTTAATCTCTTTTCTTCTGTAGTAATTATTTCAGAGGTCTGTTGTGAGTCTGCTTCTTCATGGAAGTGGTCATTTGGTACTGCAGTGTTTGTTCTCATCATCTTGCAACTTAGAATTTAAAGACAAGCTTCATCAGGTATAGGGAGAAGCATGATCGGACCAATGGCAGTAGAGATACAGGTTAGAGTGACACACTGAGGATAGGGAATTTACTGAAAGAAATTAAAACCTGGGGTCAGAGGAAAACAAAATTCAAGTTTTTTTTTTTTTTTTTCCTTCCATTCTTCCTTATTCTCTACAGAAAACACTAAGATAAGTGCATTAACAGGGTATGGAAACAACATGCAAGAAGACTATGAACAATGGCCTAAAGGACTTATGCCCTTTACATGCCCCTACACTTTCTTAGATTTTTTTTTTTCTTATAATGACCAGACACGCTCAAAACATGACTTAGTTGAAAGTGTACTTTACCCTGTAAAGTAGTAGGTGAGACTTCTGTATGCTATTTAACAATTCAGCTTTTCCTGAGCGATGCTACCAGAAGAAGCAGGGGTTCTTTACATCCCTTCCTTTGAGCTGATGGAGTTGCTGGCGTCTGTTTCTGAGATATGTTCTACCGTCAGTCATGTTACACTCTCAGCAGTGTATAAACCGTGTATTCTTTTTGTAAATAAATACGTGATTGAAATTGAATCAGATTGAAGTATTTCTTGCAAAGTAGTCTGACTGTGGAGAGAGCTTACCTTGATTAAAAGCAGAATGACTGCTATTCATTACAGTAAAAATAGTAGGTGTTTCACTCTTGTCAAAGAAATACAAACCTAGTCCTGTCAGAGACCAATTAAACTTTCTTTTAACCAGCATTCAACTTAAAAGGAATTTTGGCATGATTAAATCAGCACTACAGAAAAAATGCAAACAATCTGAAATGAGACTAAGGGGAATCAAGCTCAGGATATCTGGTTAATCTTAAATCCAGCACTTTGTATTTAGCATTCCTAGAAATATCTATTACCTAGGAGGAAGAAAAAAAAAACCTCATATCTTTCACATCACTATATATTTTTTCTTGAGATATATAGATCAAAAATGTCTGTTTAAACTACAGCTCATCTAGAGCCAATTTAGTGGTTTTCTTTTTTTAATACTGTGTTCTGTTGTATCTGATTACTTTTCAGCAAACTATATCCCAAGCCACTGCAGCTAAATATCCTCGAACGGTGCTCCATGCTGCTGGCTCCAGTGCTGCGAGACCTGCAGGACAAGCTGGGCGAATGCTGCAGAGCCAGCCTCATGCCAGCGTTCAGTCAATAAAGGTGGTTGACTGAGTGAATATCTTAGGCGCACAAATCTCTCACTGGTGGAGGGTTTTTAACCAAGGAACAACTTAAAGCTCTTCCCACTGTTTTCAGACTTGATGTAGCAAGGTCTAAAGGATGTATCATGTTTTTACCTTTTTTTTTAATTTGGTAAAATTGCTTATAGTAAGCATGTGGAGGGGGGAAAAATGACCTTGAAACATTGTTCTACCTCCAAACTTTTTGAGAATGTACTTTATTAACACTTTATTTAACAAACCTGTTGAACACTTTTAAATAAAGGATCAAATGTGACAGTGATGTCTTGTCTCCTTTGTTTAGCTTTAATTTTACCAATATCTACTTTAACATGAAAAAGAGATTTTAGTTACCTGTGCTCTTAAATATCCTCTTATAACTTAAGACCTAACTCCTCCATCATACTTAAATAAAGAACAACAAGGGCATAACCTTCATGACAAGTACATAATTTGGCTCAGGTGAGTTACCTAAGTCAAATCACAGAGCATTGTCATTTTTCAAGCTGCTACTGTGGGAATCGATGCTTACCTGCTGTAGGTCTAAGAATTTGCGATTTACTTATATTCTCCTTTTTAAAACTTGGGGAGTTGCATACCTGTTCTCAACTCTCTTGGACATCTCTACACCCATGTCAAAAGAGGCTGCATGCAGGAGGACAGAGTTAAGGTTAAGACTTCAAAACAAGTATAAAGGCTAGAAGAATTCAAATATTACATTGCCTGACTGCACCTAGTTAGAGCTGTTTTGTTATAAGGAGACCAGGAAGATAAATATCTAATTTCTTAGATGCAAAATATTTTCAATAATATCAACAGAAAACCTTTAACCATGTCTGACAACACTACCAAATATTATTCAAGATATGAACAAGAACTGGGTAGATATCAGTAAGTATTAAAATACCAAATGTCCTCCTATGAGTATGTGTACAAGGATGTGTCATGAGTGGACAAGTTCAGTAGCCAGTCACAGATGGTTGTAGACATGGCTTTTTTGTGTATTTTCACCACATAAACCAAATGCTCAGGAAGCTGCATTTGTTCCAGGTTCTAGCATTAATCAAGGGAAAAGCCCTTTTCAGCCCAGAAGACTATAATCCTAGTAATAGACTGTATAAAAACCTGACTCCCAACGGAGACCAGATGCCAACCTATTTCTGGAGCTGTTGCTTTATACACATAATTTTCACTTATTAAATTTAATTTCTTTCAGCTAGAAAACATCTCATATTTCATTGCAAACAAAATAGCTTAATTGTGCAGTTCCAACATGGCATTACCATATCTATGTTAAGTCTGTCAGCTACAGAAATTTGGGAGGAGGGAGAAAAGGAGGGGAGATGAGAGAAGGGGCCTCTTAATTAACAGTGTATTCATAAATCACCAGCTCTTAAAGGCTGTAAATTACTGTAGGGCAAATAATGAGACAAACAACTAACCAGCATTTCAGGAGTGCTTCAAAACAGAGTTTTATTTCCCCAGAAAGTCTCTGTAGTTCAAAGTCACTTTCCATCTGACATAGAATTCATCACAGCTACCATGTTGCCTTGATGAACTCATGAAATTGCACATTTTCTGGACTCCTGGTGAGTGCTACTTTCAGCTCTCATCTTTTCTGTAAACAAAAGGAGGAAACACTTGCTGGAAGGCACAGCTCTTTCTTTACACGGTCAGCACTCACTGAACTGAGGAGGCCCGAGGTGACCTTTCAGCCATGGTGGCAAGACAAAGGAGAAAGGGAGATGGTGTTTTTTCCTTCAGAAAAGCCAAATCAGACTTCAACTCTCTTCTTTGACCCCTACGAGGGCAAAGCTGCCCTAGCTGCACATCATCCCCAGCTAGCAGGAACCCCAAGCCCTGCACTGTATTTATGCAGAGGACAGGGCCAGGTGCCATTTACATCACAAAACTGCTTACCAGCTAAATGATGAAATCCTGCTTCCATTAGGTCTTCATATATATGTTTGACAGGATTCTGATGAGCCAGCAATATACCATGCAACCAGATGAGCAGCATTCTGTGTCCATGTTCCTTATAACTTTTTTTTCCTGTGTAATACACAAAGCACGCTTCTGTTCCACATGCTGGAAACATTGTGGTTTGTGCTTTTGGACTGTTCCAAGAGGCTTTAAAACCTACCCGTTTGCTTCTCTTATTTTCTTTCTCACTGAGAAGCAAAATGAATATTGAGGCTTACAAAGGTAAAAAAGAAGTAGTAAGTAAAAAGGAATCAGTGCATCTGAAAACTCATTTCCTCCTTTTATTCTTGTTTAGCCTCTTCAAAATATTCCCGAGAGAAGAGTAAATGAGTGCAATGTGTGCTGTAGAAATATCCATCTCCCACCACTGAAATGAGAGTGCTACGAGAGGAGAGCATGAACAAGGTCCTCCTCTGCCACCCTGCTGCCTAGGGCTTCCCCTGCAGCAGCTCTGAACTTTAAGACCTTCCCTGCTGCTCTTTGCTCTAAATTTTGCTTCCTGAAGGTGAAGATTTTTTTCAACTGGAGGAGGAGAACTCAAGCAGCCTGTAGCAGAATTGGCCAGGAATCAGGGACAAGGGCTACATCTGTTCACCTCAGGTTTTAATAATGCTGCTCATTTTCACAAACCGAATGACAAGTAATACAGCCAAAACACTTCTGGGATAGGCTCATAGTTTAAAAAGCAACTATCTATTTGCCCTTTTGTGACCTATATTACTTACATACTACGTCTATCCCTTCAAATAATTGTTACCTGTCCATTGTTCTTCAATAGCTTTAATTTGCTCATCTGTGAACTTCCAGAACAGAGCCAGCTTTTTCCATTCCTGGGGTTTTAACTGATTGTATGCTAGATTCCAAAGGGAAGAACGGATTTGCTTGGTCTGCAGACTGTGATCTTGTTTGAAAGATAGAACAAAATTTGACTCAGCGTCATTACAATCTAGATGTTCCTAAAAAGGAGAGCAGATGATATATTTTGTAATGAAGGTAGGAACACTTATTTTCTTTGCCTACGGTGAACAAGGTGGTCTATACAGTTGTATGTGTTTGCTGACAAGCAATATGCTCAGTGCAGAGCTCAGTGCTTCCCTACTGGGTTTGAAAAAAAACAAAATCTATCTCTTCCATTTGCAGCACCACAACTTCCCGTTGCTACTGTGTGTCCTGCCCTAAACACACAACAATAGCAACCCTCAAATCCAGTCAGCCTTCAAAATCCAGCCTTGCAAGGGTGGGGAAGGGTTGGGCCGAAGCAATAAATAGAAAAAGGAAAAGCAGAGAACAGGACAGTGTTTCACGCAGATTGTGTTATGTGCACTTCTCCATAGCAATGTGACATTTCTTTTTTAACAGATGCCTTGTCACAGATCACAGGCAGCAGCTTAGTGTAATAAAAAGATGGTGTTTACAATAAGAGTTCAATACACTGTAGTTTCATGCACAACAACACTACTTGAACAACTTCCTACTACGTATCTGTAACATTTGAACTGCTCACAAAAATCGCATGCTTCATTTCAGGAAATGGGATACAAACACTTCCACTTGCATTTCCCAGTATCTGCTGAGCTCCTGAAGAAAACCACCTCCTTAAACATCTTTTTTCCTCCCCAGGCAGCTCAGTAAACAGTGCCAAGAGGTGAGGAGCATCACTTGCTCACTGCTATCATCACACTTGTCATATCTTCCTTGGCAACAAACCACTTCACTTCTCATTTGCCTTTGGGATGAAAGCAACAATAGCGAACCTGCCAACTCCAAACTGAGGCAAGTTAGCTATGCATAACACGTGCACTTCATGGTTGTGCTTTTCATTAGTTAATCTACATCTATGATTTCCCAGCACAATTCCCTGCACTACTAAGTATCACAGAAATGGATGTGCAGGGCTGGAGGGGACGGGAGAGGCCCAGCGAGCTCACGTGTCCGCATGCAGGCGGGATCATGGACACCTGTATCACCCCGAGAGCTGCTTGTTTCATCTCGGAAAATGAACCCACTCTCAGAAAGCAGGAAAAAAGGGTGAGGTTATAGATTTAGATAGCAGCTTAGCAAGGAGAAAGGGCAGCAAGATAGTTCTCAAGCTACACTCTGAAACAGAGTCAATCCTGTTCTTGTCACCAGTCCTTTTAATCCAGTTTGCAAGTTAAACAGCTGTTGCACCTTCATTCCTGCAGATTTTACGATGAGTGCAACTTAAATAGACAACTTTCAGTCCCGCACTAGCAATGAAGCACAAAGATTTTGTTATTGCTTGGGCATTTGGGGTTGCATTATGTCAAAGCCCAACACATTTAATCAATTCCTAGAGCTTGCATAAAACTGTCTCTCCAAACAGGAAGAACTGAGCAGCCCAATACAAGACTGAATTATTTATGGAGTATTAATAAGTCCTAAAATTAGCCTTCACCATGCTTCAAAATACTTCCCTTTCATCTTAACAAAGATGTAGGTATAGCATGTTCTTTGTGGCTCATTGCTAACATCGTTAACAGAACAGATACTTTCTCAGAATTTTAGATGGCCCCAATGAAGATCTTGTGTCATCACTCAGCAGTCTATACTTAAAAAAAAAAAAAAAAAAAAAAAAGGGGCCAGGAAAACAAGCTTAGGTATTCAGGCAATCGAGGCCAACCTAAGCAGTGTCCTTACTTCACATGGTTGCCTGGCCCTTCCCCATTTTTTTCTCGAGTTTTGTAAATAAACGCGTGGAACACCAGAGGGAGCGCTCGCTCACTGCAGTAGCTGCAGCCCGCAGTGCTCAGCCTCACACTTCTGCCCAGGGAAGGACACGCCGTTTCTTTAAAGCCACATATTTTGCTGTACTTTGGACATGTGGGTCAGTGTGGGTTGACATGTGGGTCAAATCGTCCAGACTCTCATGTTCATGTCAGAGTCTGAATTTGGGTCTCAGAAAACATCCCCATCCCTTCTTCTGTTTAGTAAGAGTTGCTGGAAAATGATACTCTAAAAGCTAGACAGGGACAAAACTTGTCCTAACCTCATTTTATCAAGGCTAGTGCTGTGAGGAGGAAAGGCACTAAATTCAGGATCTGCTTTTCTCTCGTGGTTTCCTTCAGTGTGGTGCAAGATGTCTCTTACCTGTTTTCTAGCATAATATCTTTCTGCTTTAATGATCATATCTACGATGAGGGCATAATTGCTCCTGGATGCCACAGCTAGTGCAGTTTTTCCATGCTGAAGGTAGAGACAGTGAGTCATAACATGATCTCATATATATATATATATATATATATATATATATATATATATATATATATATATATATATATATATATATATATATATATAATGTACATATCATAATACATATCATATATCATTTATATATATATATAAATTCATATATATATAATCTCATTCATATGTGTATATATATATATATACACACACACACACACACGCTTTCTTCAGCCCCTGTTTTGAAATTAGGGGGATCCCAGGCACGCACAGGCTGAAAACACCCGCCAAAACAGTCCACCCCCGGCTGTGGTTAGGCTGGCACTTTGCAACTGAAGAGGGTGTTTTGAGGGTGGTGCATATAATTTAAGGAACCAAAAGCCCTTTCTTTAATTCCAGTTACAAGCGACTGTTCAGTTTATCTGAACTGATCTCTGTTGCCAGCACTTTCACATAAAGGCTTTTTATGGTCCTGTCATCTTCCACTTTGAATGGATCTCTACTTTGAATCTAGGACATTTTTCTATCTATCAAGTGCTGTACATTCTAGAAAATCAAGTCTAAAGGAGGCCCTTAAAGGAAACCCTTAAAATTATAAGGCTCAGTAATTGAATTATAAATTATTTCAACTCTCCAGCTATTATGAAGTTCCCTGATGCACACATTTGGCAATCTAGCTCCCAGCTCTGTTCAAAATCATCATAATTATCCAATTTCACCACATTGGGAGCCAAAGACTTGACGTTTCACAAAATCTTTATTGCACAGAAGTGTTTAGCATGAGGAGACAGTATAGAGTGCAAGAGCTCCCTGGGGGCACCTCCAGAAGGGCACTCTGCATTAAAAATAAATAAATAAATACCAGCACCACCACCTGAAAACAAACAAAACCCCACAGTCACCACTTGCTCCTTGCACAGGCCCTTCCTCAGAGACTCCTTGCTTTGATACTTCTACCCATCACTACCACTCTTGCCTATGTCTTTCCTGCCTGGCCTTTCCGTAACAGATGCTCCAGGGTCCAAATACCCACCTGGATGCATCTTGGAGGGTTTCTCAGGGACACTGGACACAACCAATTTCACATGCCCACTGTACTAAAGGGCAAACTGCCCTCACTGCTGCTGATGAAATCTGAACCGTCTGTATCCCTGCTCACAGCACACTTGACTGTGGGTGAGCAGCTGTAAAGGCTGCACCCACTTCTGCTCTGTGACACCTACTTGTCCTTCCTTCTTAAATCCAAGGCCTGACAGTGGTGCTTGCCCTTCAAACTAAGGAATTTAGAAGTTGTACATTTTTAAACACACTGTCTTTCAGCACAGCTGATTGCAGAAACAGCTCGATTTCAGATCTCTGCAAGCTGCAGGCAAGACAAAACGAGAGTGCAACTTCTTTTGCAACAAGCTTGTATTAAAAGGAACTTCCTTTGCAACAAATACCACTTGGCCACACTCATTCTACTAGGGATGGCTGGCAACACGCGCTTCCTGCATCTCCCAGAAGATTAGAAGCACTACAGAACAGAAATCACAAAGCGCTGGCTTGCGTGAGGGTTATACGCAGCGTACCTTATCCAAGGCCTGGAGATCACAGCCGGCCTTCAGCAGCAGCTCCACCAGCTCCACATTGCCAAGATCAGCTGCCAGATGTAAAGGGGTTTCCTGCCTCTGGAATGAATAACACCAAACAGACACAGCATGCCAAGCTCCTCCTTACAATGGAAATGCTTAGAGTTTAAATAGGATTCACAACAAGAGACAGCCTTGGCTAGAAAACCCTGAACAGAATGAAAGCATTAACTTTTGAATGATCTGGCTGCCAACTTTGTTTGAGGCAAACAAGAGCATCTGGGATCTCAACAGGAAAAATGCTCACGAGTTCCAGATGGCTTAGGAAACGGCAAGTATCATTCCCCTCTAGGGTACTGTAATGTAACAAACTCTTTTTGTCCTCTTAAAACAAGATGTTTGGGGCAGAGTGCTTCATGTGACTGCCAACCCCCAAAACACCCCCTCACGTAGCCTTTCCCTGCTGAAATTCATGCAAAGACAACCAGATATCCACAGCTTTCAACAGTAAGTTGTACACAGGCCACAAGGGAGTTGCTTAGACAGACCTGCCAGACCGTGGGATGGAGGAGAAGGCAGAACAGAGACCTACTGCTCCATAACAGGTCCGGTGAACTCCACACCACAAAGGCACTGAACAAAACCAAACCATTAACAAAATGTACAGTAATACAGACACTCTGCTTCAAGCCTAAACTTTGGGTCCAAAATGAGGGTTGTGTAGTTTCGACATTGCTCCATTTACCTACATAAAATCTAACTATTTATTCTTCTATAAAAATATTATTAAGAAACTCAGTTCTACCACCAAACAGCAGGGAGGCTCCGCAGTGTAATGCTCAGAGCAGATATCTATCTATTCCTGTCACAGAGCAGTATTTGTTTTTTGCTCTTTTCTTTACAATTCTCAGTATTAGGAGAATATTCCAGACATTTGTGGATACAATGTAGCAGCAAATAAAATATAATATCATTTATAGAAACCTTGGATATTTGGAAATGTCCCATAATATACTTCATATGACAGAAAAACCTTTTGATGAGAAGTATTTGTGTCTATGAACCTCTAATGAAGCAGGTCTATGATCTGCAGATGTGGTTAGAGAACTTTGTTAGGACGCCACGAAACCACTAAAGCCATACCTCAACTTACATGATGCAGAGTTGAATAGATCCTTACACACCCAGAAACACCAGCCTTAGGCTTCCATGTACAGCCTTACCCAAGCCCTTTGGAGAACACACACTGACTACGTGATCTCAAATTTCCTCCAACAAAACACCCTCCTTGTTTCTTCAGTAATTTAGAGATGTATATGTATCTACTGTGTGCAATTCAATGTTCCATTTATTTCTCTTTCAGTGCACACTCATCTTTATGTAATTTCATTGCATTTCTTTAAAAAAAAAAAAAAAAAGGAGAACACTCTAATCCAGAATTATTCGGCCAGACCTACCCAGAATTGCCATCCTAAATCAATCAAACCTTCATGTATTTTTTCAATGGGAAAAGCTTGAGGTTAAGGGAGCCAGTGACCAGACCTTTCTTTCCCTGTATACTTCAGAAAGTTTATACTGAAAGAGTCTGTATGCTAAAAACAGGCAAATGGCTCTCTGCACTGAGTTTCCCTCTAAGATCCATATCTCTGAGACATTTTTGTCATTTATTGTTCATAAATCATAACAGGAATGTAATAAAAAAATCTGGATATATAGCATTTTGCTATCCATATCTTGCATAAACAGTACAAGCACAGCCTGTACCAGCAACTAACACGCACACACATGAGAAGATAAGGAGGGAGGAGGGAACTGCCTCTTATTTATTGTACTTGAGACCATAAAGAGAAAAAAAAATACAAAAGAAAAACAACATTTTCTACTTCAAACAAAATCTAAATAATCTCTTCCTTTTCAGTAAAGTTACATTGCTTTCCACTTTTTCTTACGTGATTTAAGGAGTTTATATCATGATTGGCATCCAAGAGACTTTGTACTACAGGTAGATGATTATTGATGACTGCTAAATGGAGAGGACTATTCTTCTCCTGTGAAGAAAAAAGAAACAAACTATTATACTAGAATATTTCAATTAAAGGATACATTCAAACAAACAAAAAAAAGAGTTTCTTGTCAAACTGTGTGCCCTGCAAAGAGTACACAGGACAGGCTCCGGTAGAGATCAAAGCTGCAGAAAACACAACTGCAGCTACTCAGTCCTGCTCAGGGACCCAGTGGCATGACTAGCCTCATGACCAGCCCACTTCTCAAGCAACAGCTACAGCAGCTTGTAAACAAACACATTAGGGAAATCTATAATTCCTCACTATGAGGTGCTTCCCAGTATGTGTGCTAGTGCCTACAGACTGTCAGCAAGGCACTCAATGTATTCGGACATGGCATTTGCTGCTATTTTCTGGTTCACAAAGAAAGACTTTAAGGCAGCATTTATTTTCCCTCAGAAAACTTGGTTTGCCCTTATTTGAACAGACTGGAGACAGCATAATTCTAAATTAGGTGGCTAACCGTCCAAATCTACTTTCCAGGAATAACGTCACGTAACACACTCCTCCTTTAATATTCTTGGTAATTATAACTAGAAAGAGAGTAATTCCTGTTATTTGAGTGCTTATTCATGAAAATAACTCTGGCATACATCCAACACCAGTCACAATCCAATTCTTAGATTGATTTGTATGTTGAACCCATGCTTCACCACTTCATTAAATACAGATTACAAAAAATCATAGCAGTGCCAATCACTAATGCCAAAGACCTATTAATTAGTGTCTTTATAAACCACCGCCTTTCTTCAGGGCTATAGAAAAATAGCCATACTGGAAATGTTTCTAATACTTACGTCACAGTTTTCAGAGTTGCTTCTGCTACAGCAAGTTAATGCCAACAAGCAGTACAACAACTGACTGATCTTTAAAATAAACCATTTTGAAGACATTACAAATTATTCTTCCTTGCCAACATTAAATAACATTCAAGTGATTACGGCAGGTAAATCATGAAGACAAGATCTCTATTTTCATTCTGTACTGCAGAAATATAAAATATTTTCCTATTCACAGAAAATCCCAGGTGTAACAACTGCTCTATCTGAAGTGAGGCAAGATTTGAATACCAAGAATACTTTAAAAACAAAAACAAAAAACAACCACCGCCATTCCCAGCCTTCCAACTGTAGGCAGTTTTGGAAGGCGTATGCTTTTAGCACAGAGAATAAAAACAAGGGTTTTTTTTGCCTTTTAAGTTAGAATCTCTTAGTAGCTGTCTGCTCCACAGCCTCTTGGCCTCAGCAGAGC